CGACGACGACATCGCTGAACGCTAGATCTGCAGATCGGCAGAGTGCCCGGAGGAACTCTGTCGACGGTAGTGAGGCCGATCTGGATCCCGGTCCAGATCTGGAAAAGAAACCTCATCCTCCACAGGTCTCCGGCAAGGAGACCCCTGCGGATTCTGACCCGCGTCAAGATCCGCTAACAAAACGAACAAAGGTGAAGGCTGAACCGTATTCATTCATCGATCCAGAGAAACCAACACTATATCTACCTAAGGACACGCAAGTCTCTGGATCCGAGGTCGGGAAGCCAAGATCCAAGACTGTGCGGAAGAAGATGAAGGCGCCAGATGACGAGGAAGATGAAGATCACCCGGATCTGGCTGGTCTGAAGGATCTGAAGCCCATGTATCACCGCAAGGAGCTACGCGACTTCGTGGACCAGGATCCAGTGATGCGGATCCTGCAGCTCAAGCAGATCACGGATCCAAAGGAAACTGTGACTGCCCCCGCCGCACTGGCCAACAGATTTGATGCAGCGATGGAGCTGATCCGTCTGCTGAAATGGGCCGGTATGATCCCGGGATCCTTCGATGCAGACGCACTGTTTGACTTGGATCTTGATGTGATCCAAACTACCAGCCGCGATCTGTTCCAGAAGTTGAAGATCCTAGTCGGCGAGGTGACCCAGAGCCTCGATCCACTGCCACTGACCACGACCGACGCCGTCGATAACTTGACACTATGCGGCAGACGCGGAAGATGGATCCGACACTTCCTCGGTGTCTGATACCTCCTCGGAGCCACCGCGACGGATGTCCCTAGGACCCTCTGGATCATCAATGCTGGAGGCGAGATCCAAGATCCGCCGCTCTAGTCCAGCTAGAAGGCAGTCGTCGCGATAATGGATCCTCACCAACGGATCAGGTCACAGCCATCTAGAGTTCGGATCGATCAGTTGGTACCTTGCAGAAGTTCTTCAATGCTGCAATGGACCGATATCTGGCCGAAGAACGTGAGGCGAACAAATATCCAGCTCCTACACGTCCACAGCATCAAGGATCACAAGACGTCGAGATGGAGGCCATTCAAACTCCCGATCATGGATCCCGCTGGGAGTACGAACCGGACGATGTAGACTTTTCCACCTCGGCACAAGCCACTGTGGCCACCGCTGCTGTTGGATCCACAGGTTCCACCATGATCCAACGAGTCCGGATCTCGGCGATCTCGGATCTCAAGGAGTTCACTGGCAAGGATCAAGACGAAGATCGATCAGCAAAGTTAAATCTGCGTTCATGCGAGATCAAGCGTCAGATGACGAAAAGTGCTTGACCTTCGCAGATCTTCTCGCTGGATCCGCGAAGAACTGGTGTCGCCAGCTGAGTAGATCCACCCGCAACAAATGGAGTGATCTACTACGAAGTTTCCAAATCCAGTACTGCGGACTTGGAGTGTCGGTAGCAAGACAATACTACCATACGCGACGCAGATCCGACGAGTCTCCACTGGATTACCTGTATCGGCTCAATGTAGCGGGACTCCGCGCAAAATTGAAGATCAAGGATGGCAGCGCGAAGGAACGACGTGAACATGTGGATCATTACATCGAGACGCTTGAGGATCAAGATCTAGCAGAACGGTTAACCTTGCTACGGTTGACTGACGTGGATGATCTTGAAGAAGTCCTTCGCGCTCGGGATTGCGCTAAGAATCGTCAAAAGAAGGCAGCGTTTGGATCCAGCAAGTATCGACAGAAGCCAACCACCTCAGATCACTGCCTCCTCGTGTGTCGCGGTTGTGGAGAATTACATGACATGGGAAAATGTCCGATGGAAGAGTTCTATAACCAGATCCGTCAGTGGTTTAACCCCACGAAGCACATGCGTATGTTATCCGAAGCTGCTGAGAAGATGTTAAACTAGGACGCTTGTCGGGGTGGAATCCGATACGAGCCGAGCGTTTTAGATACAGCATCTATGCATTTGTGAACAAGACATCGGTAGATCAGGTTAGTAAAAGACCAGATCTACACGGTAATACGCATGATCTGCATAGGAAACGCACCTTCGCAATCTCAAGCCTTCGCCAAGTCGACGAGTATGCCAGATCTGAAGTCGCCATGAGTGTAGATCTCCAGCCGGGAGAATCACGAGGGTATTGGAGACAGCAAGATCCAGATCTGTGGTTTAAACCCGCAAAGCATGAAGTCATCTCGGAGATCCAAAGGCCTAGTAAGATCGCGGAATACCGACGACCATGGATCTGCTCCCGGGAGAATCCCGTGGGTATTGGAAGCATCATTCGCCAGGCAAATGGTTTTGTCAGGCGAAGATCACAGGCAAGATCCACAATGAGAAGACGATCTTACTCTTAGATACCGGCGCCGAGGTGTCCGTGGACACCGCTTTTGCACGTAAGATTGAGTGCTATATCGACCCAAGTCAGATCCAGGATTGTGTGGGAATTGGTGATAATACGTATCGGATGGAAGGAAGAACCCGGATCAAGGTAACTCTTGCTGGATCACTGGTATATTTCTTCGATATCTGGGTAGCTGATCTGACTGGCCAACAAGCTATACTCGGTATGGACTTCATGGTTCCAGCCAGGATCCGCCTGGATCTAGCTCATGGGTCGATCAGTTTGCGGATGAAGTCCGGATCCAGCTTAGCGGGAGACGTCAGGTTTATAGTGACAAGGTGAAGATCGTCAACGTCGGCCAATATCTTCGGATCCAAGCAGGAGGGTCGGTGGAACTGCCATTGCGCCTGAGGTCGTCGATCCACGACAAGCTGTGGATCACGCGTGGGGATCGATGGGTGCCGACAATATTCGACGGACCAGGGAGACCGAAGTATATATCGATCACCACCATTGGAGACGAGGTGCTGATCTTGCACCGAGACCAACAGATTGGGATCTGGCTGGCTGGAGACCATGTACCGCGAATACCAGGTTTCATCTCGATCGGCTCCCGTCGTTACATGGAGTGGCAGAATCTAGCGTTGGAAGCTACGACAGACACTCGTGCCGAAGAGATGGAGGTCGAGGTCCCGCTGGTGCTCGCGGTGGAGCGGCCCGAGTACGAAACTCTGCGTGCAATACTCCAGAGACCGAAAGCGACGCTGATCCAGTGTCGGAAGGTCGAGGCGAGTCAGGATCAAAATATTTCTGACTGCCTATCCTCGAACAACCCGCCGTCGGACAAGTCGCCGTCGGAGATTCGACCGTTGGATCTAGCGTCTGTCGCCAGCAAGGAGTCGGATCTGTCGTCTATAGAAGAAGAAGATCTTATATCGCATGCAGTAACGGTCAAGGACGCGCTGGGAGATCTCGATCAAGTGACGTCAGACGGGTGGGCGACTAACCCGTCGTTGGTGGAAACCACAGGCGTAGTGGAAACGCGAGAAGAGGAAGGCCGAGACGGAATTAGGATTGCCGGTCAGGATCAACTACATTCGAGGGGTCAAGATCAAGGAACATCACCGTCGAAATGCGGCGGATCTGATCTGCCATCAATGATGAGTGTAATCCGTCGAACGATGAGCACGCCGCATCTATGACGCAAAAAACGAACATGAATCCATCGCCTGTTGTTGAAGATCAACCAGGCGCGTCGGATCTGGACCTCACCTGGGACTCAGATCAAGATTATGATGAATACGTATATTACCATGAAGGAAGCGATCTGTACGCGGTCCATGTCGACGGTCAGATGGCGGTACTGCCAGAAGTGCCGGCGACGACGGAAGATATGAAGAACGAGGACATTCAGCTATGTGGATCTGATAACCAGACCCCAGAAGAAATTGATCGACTTCGTCCAAAGATCTGGAAGTTCCGACACCTCTTGATCGGTAAAAGAAATTCCCTTCCGCCGCCAGCTAGAGGTGTGGTGTGCGACATCGACGTCGGAGGAGAGAGGCCTATCGCCCTGAAGTGTCGAAAGTTTGCGGATCCAGTTCAAGGAGAAGCTGGCAGACTTGATCAAGGGCCTATTGTCTGCCAAGATGATTAACTACACTAGATCACCGTGGGCTTCCCCGATCGTGGTGATCATCAAGAAGAATGGAGTGGATATCAGGCTATGCATCGATTATCGGCTGGCTAATAACCTAACTCAGCTGATGGTATACCCAATGCCCTTGATCAACGACCTACTCGAAGATCTGGAGTCGACACTTTGGTACTGTTCTTTGGATATGGCGAGCGGATTTTGGGTAGTGAAGATGACGGATCGTGCTCGTTGGATCTCGGCTTTTATCACTCCGTTTGGGTTATTTGAGTGGAATCGAATGCCTTTCGGCTTGAAGAATGCGCCCCAGATCTATCAACGCATGATCGATAACGCATTATATGGATTCACCAGGATCCCCAAATGTGAAGATCACGGAAGTGCTCTGGATGTGTTTGAGGACGGGAAACCAGTGGATCCAGGCAAGTCGTCTGTGCTTGGTCGCAGATCATATATCGATGATATCCTGATCCCTGCCAATAACTGGGATCAACTATGCGATCGAGTCGAAGGTTTACTCGAAGCGTGTGATAAGTGGAATTTGTCGATCAGTGTGGTGAGAGTTTCTGGGGGATGCCTAAGATGGAATATCTCGGCCATAAGGTCTCTTACAATGGACTGGAGGCAAACCCGAAGGGTCTGTCGGCACTGACTGATCTAGCATTTCCAGGATCGCTCAGAGCTATGCAGTCATTTTTGGGAAGCCTGAACTATTACAGTCGGTTCATCGAGGACTATGCGATTTATGCTTCGGTCTTGTACGAGTTACGGGAAATCGACTTCGCTGCGATGATGAAAGACACCACCCAAGCGCAGATCCAACGGATACTAGAGGTGGAGAGCGTGGATCAAGGATCACAGGAAGATCAAGCGATCGACCACCGAAAGACCTTGGATCCGGAGGCACAAGATCCGACTGAAGTGGATCCGCGTTGGATCCACGCCTACCGGTCCTTCAGAGTGCTCAAGGCCAAGATCGCTACTACTCCGATCTTACGGCACTTTGATCCAGATCGAAGTGCTACGATCGTAGTATATGCCAGCGACTGGGCTATTTCAGGATCATTGATGCAGGAGTATGATAAGATCTACTACCCCGTGATGTTTGCGAGCCGTACCTTGAAGTCAAATGAGCTGAATTACGGAATCGCAGAGAAGGAAGTGCTAGCCCTTCTAAGGATCCTGGATTTTAACTACAATGCACTGGCCGGACGTCCGATCCATGTGTTGACCCGACACTCTAATTTGGCGTGGACGCTCGAGATCACCAAGTGTGTCAAAGGAGAGGACGAGATCTTAGGAGCATTGGCAGCCAGTATTACCCCTAGATCTGAAGTGGATAAGGCATTGATCTCGATTGCCCCACAAAAAGGAGCCACGCCGCAAGATCCAAGTTCCGATCCCCAGTATCGGACGCGACGAGGATCTATACGTCGTTAGTTTCGATGGATCTGCCCGTGTCAAGAGAGGTGGAGGCACCTACAGCCCAATCTTGTGGAAGCTTCCTGAATGGAGGGTGTTGAAGGCTAGATCTGGGTACGCCGAAGGTTTGACGGTAAATGAGGCGGAATATTATGGGTTGTTGCTATGTTTGGATGTGTTGGAAGATCTGGATCCACGACGCCTGGTGATCTGCGGAGACTCAAATCTGGTGAACCGCCAAGTACGAGGTGAGATCGACTGCAAGGCGCCGGGTTTGACACTGTTGTGTTAGCGGGCTTTGGATCGACTTCGCTCTTGGCCGGATCACGAGCCATTGCATGTCAAGCGAGATTGGAATGGGAGTGCCGACAGCTTAGCAAGTGCCGTACTACAACGACAGTGTGGGATCGAGGTCGAGACCGAAGAGGAGATCTAGGATCTAGTGACCTTGAACCGGTTGGATGAGATCCTGATGGCGAAGAACGAACAGGTATCTGCCGTAACGACCCGATCTAAGGCTAGATCTGGAGTGCGTATCGGATCAGATCCAAACTCATTACGTGAGGAAGTTGTGAGAGAGCTGAGGATCGAGCGGATCCGACAAGCACAGGATGAGGAGTCGTGGATATCGGGTTTGAAGAAGTATTTGATTGGAGAAGTTCGGGATCTGATACAAGAGGATGCTAAAGTGTTTGGATCTATTGCTATGAATTGCGAAGTGGATCAGTCGGATTTACTCTTTTACTGCCCGACAACTAAGGAGGAAGCTGCAGATCGAGACACGTTGATGCGATTGGTGACACCCGAGACACTCCAACAAGACATCTTGTATCACTATCATACGAGCTTGCAAGGGGGCCATCAAGGAATTGGCCGGACCTATGATCGGATCCGCGATCACTTCCACTGGAGAGGGTTGTACAAGAGTGTACAACGATATGTGGGAGAATGTGTTGATTGTGAAACAGGCAAAGGACAACCTCGGATCCAGGGTGAGTCACCGGGTAACCTTCAGGCGACATACCCATTCCAGATCATTGCCATGGATCACATACCTTCACTGCCTAGATCCTTCAGTGGCAACACCGAATTGTTGATCTTCGTGGATCTATTATCGAGATATGTGATCGCCAAAGCCAGCGTCTCTAGATCCGCTCAAACAATCGCTGAGACCTACGAAGAATGCGTCTTCCGCAGATTTGGCGTTAGCGAGGTGATCGGGCATGATCGGGAGCCAGGTTTTATGTCTGACTTTTTTAAGTCCTTCAACAAGATCTTGGGTCAACGTCAACACGCTACTATGGCTTATCGACCCCAGGCTAATGGATCCGCAGAGCGTATGGTCCAGACGACCACCAGGGCTCTTAAGATGTATGTGCAAGATCTGGATTAACGAGATTGGGACGAATATGCTGAACGGCTTACCTTCGCGATTAATACCGCAAGAGATCGGATCCGAGGTGAAACCCCCTTCTATATGATACATGGATGGGATCCTAGATCTACTCTGGAAGCGGTGATCCCGGTGGGAAGCACCCGCAGGCACGATTGAGATCCAAGAAGATGGAGGTATCGAATGCAAAAGTACTACCAACAAGCTCGAGAGCAAGTGAACCAACGTTTCCGCGAGGCAATCGCGGATCGGGCCGACATACATAATGATCTAGTACGTCCTCACCCTGTAGAGTCTGGGTCAAGAGTCTGGTTATACCTGGATCGAGTGCGTGAAGGATATGCAAAGAAGCTGGTGCATTTATGGCATGGACCATTTCGCGTCGCTGAACAGATCGGGGAATATGCAGTGAGGTTGGAGATCTCAGGATCAACATACAGCATCTTCCCAGTAGTGCATGTGTCGAAGATCAAACTGGTTAAGATATTCCCAGATCGTCCCGTAGCTCGCCTAGACGAGTCAGAAGGGGATCCGGTGGACTTCGATGAAGCTCTCCTACCGGAAGACAGCTGGACCCAGGATCGGGATCCACATGAGTACAAAGTGGAGCAAATTTCCGATATGAGGACTGGCAAGAGGGATCGATATGGACGGATCTACCGAGAAGTTTTAGTGCACTGGCGTGGATATGAAGATCCAACCTGGGTAGATGAGGCAGACCCCAACTGCGGCGCTCTTCTATATGCGTTCTTGCGAGATCGCAGTAATCGCAACCGTTTTGGTGTGATGCAGTCTCACGAGGAATCGTGAGATCTGGATCCACGCTGGTGAGTTGGTCATCGGTGTGGTTGAAAGTTGACGGATCTGCAAGGGGGTTGTAAATCGGGGGACGGGGTTTACGTGACTTTGTATATGATGACATGTTGAAGGGGGATCTGTATGGAAAGAGATTGAATCAAATGTTGATATGAATTGAGTAGGAACAATTTGCGATTATGGATCTAGAACTGCGTTATCTGAGAGATTGCGGATCAAATGGCGAACGACAAGTGTGGGGGTATTAGAGTGGAGATTTGTGTGAATTAACGTGGTTAAAGACTTAGTGGAAACAAAGAACACTGACGAACACAGAGCCGAAAGGAAAATGACATGTATTACGATTAACGAAGTTGATTTGGAAGGAACGCATGGAGAAGTGTCAGGATCACGGCTGAGGAGGAAGAGGCGGCGCGTTGGGGTTCAGAGCTGCCATGTTAAAATATTTACCGGTGAGGCGCGCAATCCGGCGAGCGGGATAACCCACATGGTGCAGTGGGTAGTGAGTTCGCCATGGATCTGCGGCGTCACACCCAGCGAGAGCCTAGATCAGATCTGCAGGATCGTGACGGTGCAGTTGCGGATCCGCGAGGTTGGCACTGCGAGCCTCGATCCCGGGATACCAAGCCACTTCATCCGTTCGCTTGGGAAAATGGAGAAAATAGGGATCCAGCAGCAGATCCAGATGTCACCCGCCCTCGCGCATGGCGATCAAAAACAGTCGCAGGATCTGCTTCCACCTAGCGCCAGCGTGAGATTGACGGTTCTTCCTCTCCACAACGAAGAGCGCCAGATATGGATCGCCGCGGATCAACGCCGGTGTGGTGAAGCGAATTGCAGCTTCGCAGACCACCGAGCTTTCAA